AATTAAAGGGATAGTTCACCCAAAAATGAAAATTCTGTCAGTAATTACTCACCCTCATGTTGTTCCAACCCCGTAAGACCTTCGTTCATCTTTGGAACAAAAATTAAGATATTTTTGATTAAATCTGAGAGCTGGATCACTCCTCCATAGGCTTCTTAAGGGATCGAAACTGGCCGGCCCAAAAGTTATGAAAGACATCGTTAAAATAGTCCGAGTGACTACAGTGGCTCAACCTTAAGTTTATCAAGCGACGAGAATACTTTTTGTGCACAAAAAAACAATAACGACTTTATTCAACTATTCATTTCCTTCTCTGTGGGCCGTGATATTTCACGTAGTGATATTGCACAAAGCTTCTAGGTTGCACGTCACACTTAGGCTCACTATTGGCCGACGCTGGTCACGTGTGTGATGTGTGACGTACAACCTAGAAGCTTTGCGTAGTTTCACTACGTGAAATATCACGGCCGTACAGAGAAGGAAATGAATAGTTGAATAAAGTCGTTATTTTTGTTTGTTTTTTGCGCACAAAAAGTATTCTCGTCGTAACCTCAAATAAGAGCACACATCAAAGTATTAGTATAATTGCCTTAATATTACTGAATAGTTTGTATGATATTAATAGGTTACTTATAAAGTCTGTAAGAACAATATTACATAAGCACAATGCCACTAAGTCAAAGTGGAATCTACATTGTAATTATCAAATTATTTTAATTTGTACTGAACTATTTTGATCAGCTGTTAAGTCAAGTACATTTTCAACTAGCTACTTTAATGAATAAAATATATAAAAAAAAATATATATAAAAAAAAATAATAATAATAAAAAAAATAATAATAAAAAAAAAATCTGGATATCTAAAAAAACAAAAAAAATTCCCAAAATGTTTCCCAAAAAATAATTCAACAGCACTTATTTTTTTCTCAGACAGAGAGAGAACAGCAAACACTGAGAGAATGAGATCACTTAAGCTGATTTGTTATTGAAGAGATTTATTTGCCATAATTACAATTTGCCTCCCTATAAAAGTATAGTATGTCATTACACAAAATCACCAAAAAGATTCTAGTTGTCATTTAGGTATATATATATTCAGTGCAAAACATAGATTTCTTTTTCTGATGGACTGCGCATCTTTCTTTCAGCTAACAGTATCATCAGGCTGTGACAATCGATACAATAATACATTTTAGTCCTTTGCAGCAACTATAGACCAATGAAGCAAGCTTTTAGATGTTTACTAATGCACATTTTCCTTTGTCTCAGGTCAGTGGATTGAAAGAAGGCATGCCTCTCAGTCTGTCGCTCTGGTGTGGGTCTATACATTGTTCTGGGCCTCACTTCCGGCATTTGGGTTTGGTAGTTATGGCCCGGAACCGTTTGGAACCAGCTGCACCATAAACTGGTAATGAACCATAGCCATTAGTAACTGTAAAGGGGTTGCTAACCTATTCCCCAGTGATTTGTTGGTGTTTTCAGAATGCATTCTCAAGGGCTTTCAAAAGACATTCACAGCTGAAAGTTATTTTACCCACAAACCAGAACATGTGTGTTGATGTGTTCATGCATTGCTTCCTGTGGCCTCAGGTGGAGGATGAAGTCTTCACTCAATGATAGAGTCTATATTTTCCTGATCCTGTCGCTCTGCTTCGGAGTTCCCACCCTCACTATAATCGCTTCATACCTTGCTATCCTCATCAGGGTGAGATAAACAGAGAGATTATCAGTATTACTATGGATTCTAAAACACTTGAAGCTAAGATAATTTTACCTCATTCTGATAAAAAAAAGTCATGTTTATTTGACAGTTAACTGCCAATGTTTACTGAAGAACCATTAAGGTGAATTGAAGTGTTGCTACAGTGTTGTGTGATTTCAGGTGTATCGGTCTGGCCGCATGTTGGCTTCAATCCCTTCATCAAATGTCACTCACAACAGCAAAGATCTTCGGCTGACAAAGGTACAAGCTCTAACTGATCACCCAGAATACCTTTGGAAAGGACCCTCTTCTTAGACATAACTATTTAACGTTACTATTTAACGAGAGGGCGATTTTTTTAAGAATCCGCACTATTTGATTTGAACGAAAACATACATTTTTGAGGAAAAAAAGTAATTATGAAGGTCCACCCCTAAACCTAACCCTAAGTGGTGTGTAAGCAGGTCGTACAAAAATGTACGAATTATATTGTACGGATTCATATGAATTCCCCACCAATTCGCCAAAACGTATAGGGGCCTAATAGTTATGAAATGACATGAAAGCGTATTGGTTGTTATTGTTCACAAATAAAATAAAATAAAATAAAATAAAATAAAATAAAATAAAATAAAATAAAATAAAATAAAATAAAATAAAATAAAATACAATAAAATACAATAAAATACAATAAAATAAAATACAATACAATACAATACAATACAATACAATAAAATAAAATAAAATACAATAAAATACAATAAAATACAATAAAATAAAAACAAATTACTGTAAATCAAATGGAACTAAATTAAATAAATGAAAAAATGTGAATGGCTACAAATTAATTTTAGTTTTTGGTATACCTTGACTGCCTGCTTGCTTTAAAGTTGGTAGGAAATTAGAAGTTGTGATCGTCTGAATAACAATAACAGTAAACTAAACTGAGAATTTTTACACAATTTTTTTTAAATGATACCAGTTAGCACAACTTTGATGGCCTTAAAACACTAAAAGATAAATAATTACATAAAAGGGACAAAAACCAAACTAAATAAAAAATGCTATCTAAAAGTAAAAAAATAAATAAAAAAACTATAAATAGCCCTGCTGATTTCATAGGGGACCTTATTTATCACAGGTCTGGTACAATGGATGTCTCCCCCAATTCTGGCCCTGCTTTTACCTCCCCATTTCTATTCAAATGTCTCTTTTTCATGATTCACATACAATTTCTCATTTCCTTGTATACAGTTTCTGAAACTTTCCGTTGCAGATAGCAGCAGTGGTGTGTTCCTCATTTCTGATCGCCTGGACTCCCTATGCGATTGTTTCACTGTACTCGGCTTTGACTGCCAGAGAAGAGCACCTCGCGGAAGCCGGAGGAACGGCTGTCCCGGGAGGAATATCAGGAACAGCCGTCGGCCATGGCGGAGGGATCTCTGACGTCTTTGGGTTTCCCTTCCTCATGAACTGGACCTCTTCAGAACACTTCGGAGATGCTTTTGGTACCTGGAGGAACATGACTTCAGATCATTCCCATTCAGTAGGGCATCATGGATCCAGTTCAACTGTGGATTCTGCACATGGAGGAATGGAGGAACACCGGCCACATCTTGTGTCCATCCTGAAGCCAGAGGTCACGCTCATCCCTGCTATGTTTGCCAAATCCCACTGCATGATAAACCCCTTCATCTACCAGATCATGAACCGCGACTTCAGGGAGGCCGTCTATGATCTCCTGTGCTTGAGAGGAAAAGATGGAGAGAGAAGGAGAGGAAGGAGCACAGATGGAAGTGATTCTGAAGGTCAGGAGCTAAATGATTACATTACTATTAGATCTTTCTATTGAATTCTATCTATCTATCTATCTATCTATCTATCTATCTATCTATCTATCTATCTATCTATCTATCTATCTATCTATCTATCTATCTATCTATCTATCTATCTATCTATCTATCTATGATTCTGAAGGTCAGGAGCTAAATGATTACATTACTATTAGATCTTTCTATTGAATTCTATCTATCTATCTATCTATCTATCTATCTATCTATCTATCTATCTATCTATCTATCTATCTATCTATCTATCTATCTATCTATCTATCTATCTATCTATCTATCTATCTATCTATCTATCTATCTATCTATCTATCTATCTATCTATCTATCTATCTATCTATCTATCTATCTATCTGTCTGTCTGTCTGTCTGTCTGTCTGTCTGTCTGTCTGTCTGTCTGTCTGTCTGTCTGTCTGTCTGTCTGTCTGTCTGTCTGTCTGTCTGTCTGTCTATCTGTCTTTCTGTCTGTCCGTTTCTATTCTGTATTTTTCTCACATTTCTGTTTCTATTTCTGTATTTTCCACACATGCAGGTCATCGTGGAAGCATCACCCTCTCTTATATTCACAGCTGGAGAAGAAGAAGCACACCTACAAGGCAGCCATCTGGGGAGCGTGTGAAAAAAGATTCCTCTCACAAGAGTAGAGGGAAGAGAGGGTCCTGTCAGGACAATGCGTCAGTCGGGTGGGCATCCTTGGACACTACAAACTTAGATACGCAGGCCAACTTAGAAAGAGAGAGAGGGACGCAGGTGGAAGGAGAGATGAACAATGATTTAGAGAATCCACCTCTAGCAGCTTGTTGATGGGCAAGGAGTGATGCCTGCTTATATCTAAGACGTAAACAGTTCTTAATGCAATTAGTCAGCTCAAAGTATATGTTTAGTTAAAATATAGTGGGTTTTTTGATAACAATTTTACAAACTAATGCACTCATTCAGTTTCACATTGGTTCTTTGACACATGAAGCTCTAGTAATTTTCATATGTATTTGGTCCTTTGTTTATTATTGAATCCAATGTATTTATTTATTTATTAATCTTTTGTGAAACCAAATATTTTATGAATTTACATATGGTATTTAAGTTTTTATATAGGCTCGTTAGAGAGCACTATCCAGTCCAAAGTATTGCAAAATACTATTTCTGAATAAATGTGAAATGTAAATAAAATGTACAACAATGAAAAGACTTTGATGTTTATTTTGTAATTTGCAAATAAAAAATAAATAAATCAGAAGCCCTGTAAGACCCAACGAAGTACAATGGCTATTTGTTGCAGATTTGTGACGTCAGCATTGCTTTGTTAATATTATGAATGAGGTAATATGTTTTTACCGTAAGTGCCCCTCTAGGGCAAAATATTACTTTGCGGGTAGCATACAGACAGCTGTTAGTCGCTTTTGAACAGTGATATTATACATAAATATACGTTTTCGTATTTCATCTACCAAATATTACTTTGCGGCTTTGGAATATTCAAAGAAACAGAAAAGAGGGGACAGCTACTGCTGATGTTACGGTAATGTCCGCACTGAAGCGCTGCAGAGACTCGAGCACTCAAGTGTATTCAGGTTTCCAGGCAGGGAAGCCACAAGACATTCGTTTGGACCTATTTTAAATGTATTTCGCTAACGTTTTTACAATATACTTTGCTTGTTAGAATATAGCTATTGCGTGCTTCTGTAATTACTCCACATTATTGGCTTTTATCGCTTGCTGCAGTGAGAGTCGCGTCGTCTCCATCAGCTATTCATCCTTACTCAGCATTCACACGCAAGCTGTAATACTCTTATCTCGGTACATAAGGCTTTAACGAGTTAAATGTGGATATTGCCGTGTCACTGGGTCGCTAAACACTATTGACCTTTGAAATCAAGCCGTTAATTGTTTTGACGTCAGACTTTTGAAGTCAGACATAGCTGGTGTTCATGCCCGATCTGCAGCGCTTCAGTTTTCCGTACCGTAGCATGAATTCTCCTCTCCATCATCATCATCAGCAGCAGCAGCACCATCAGCATCAGAATCCAGAAGGACCCGGTCATCCCGATTCTCCCTCCGGTTTACTCCCCGAGGCTGCTGTCCTCGGTGCTTCTGACCCATCCTCTTTTTTCCTCGAAGAGCAGCACGGCCCTTCTGGGGTCTCCCAAACCGCATTTGACCTTACTGCATCCTCTTACCTGCACTTCAGTCCTTCCTTCCACTGGTCCCAACCTCCTCCACCAACAGCCATGGCACTGAGGAACGACCTGGGATCAAATATAAGCGTCCTGAAGACCCTCAATCTGCGGTTCCGATGCTTTCTGGCTAAAGTGCATGAACTGGAGAGACGCAATAAGATATTGGAGTTACAGCTTCAGCAGGCTTTAAACAGCAATAATGCGGGTGGATGCGCGGAAGACCGAAAGACCAAAGACATTGGTGTCCAGACTGGGTTTATTGGGCCTATTGCTGTCCGGCCTGGGTCTCTGTCCTTCCAAAACACCAACAACTCTGCCAAAAGACCCACTACATTGTTTATGCCTTCTCTTACGACTGTCCTCAAGTTTGAGCCCAATAAAGCTGACGATGAGACCACAACTGACCCAAACACCAACAGAAACCCAACCATCACGGTTAGTCTGTCAACACCCACCACCGAACCCGCTTCGGCCAACACCAATAACTCTAATAATACTCCACAAGTGAGCAGCGTTGGCATCGGGACGTCTCCCAACCCTCCTCCTCGCTTCCTCCCGGGCACTATCTGGTCCTACAACCACACTCGTAAACTGGGAAGCGGGTCAGAGACTCGGGTCACTAGCCCTGGAGTATCGTGGGTCCACCCGGACGGCGTGGGTGTCCAGATAGACACCATCACCCCAGAGATCAGAGCACTTTACAACGTCCTGGCCAAAATCAAAAGGGAGAGGGATGAGTACAAGCGAAGGTGAATATAGAGTTAATATAGATGCTTATTATGGCTGAATGTTTGTTTATGAGAAAAAGTTTCTGTGTGTGGCCCTTATGACAAACCTCTGCTGCAAAGTCTTCCTTTTTTTTTAGTAGTGTAGAGAGTCATGATGGCTTTGAGGCATGGTTGCCAATTTGAATGACCTCCGGGGATCTAGAAACAATTTTTTCTTCATATTTTGTGCTGCTAACTTTAAATACCAAACAGTTTTGGCAGCGGTTATTTACATTAAATTTAGATAGATACTATTTACACTAGGCTAAGGGAAAATAGCGATAAATTATATTTACACTGTAAAAATAGCATTAAGCATTAAGTGTAAAAAGTAGTTAGATGCTATTTATACTTATAAATAGTGGCAGATATTTGCACATCAGTGTTGTTGTAGCCTACATTAAACGATATGCAATAATAACATAGAGTGTAAATGGTTATATATTTTTTTAAATTATTAAATGGATGCGCCTTCTTGGGACAATAAAGCCCTCCCTATACACCTACTTCTAACCATAGCCTATAAACACGTTATTATTAAACATACGTTAGACACTTTTTGAATATTTTCTTCAGGTAACACTTTATTTTAAGCTGACGTAGTTACACGTTACTAGATGTACTTACTTACTATAGTAATAACAGTAAATTATGCATAATTACAAGTAACTAATCCTAAACCAAACCCTAACCGTAACCCTGTAGTAAGTACATGTGGTTATTTAATATTGCTAAGTACTTATTTGTCTACAATGTAACTATGTCACCTTAAAATAAATCGAAAACCATCATTTTTATTGAAAATAAATGCTTTTCTGATCTGATATGTGATGGGAAAAGGGAGTAGAGCGAGTTCGGCAAAGGCGGATATACGAACTCTGGTCGATTTGCATCAAAACATTATGCCATACACCTTACTCCTACACAATTGCTACTGTTGACAATCCAGCGTCTTCCTTAATGTTGTTTGGCCCAACCAGACATCAGTGGGCGGAGTTAGTGTAAATAACCTCTGCCAATAAGGCGGGCTATTTGCACTTATTGTAAATAGACACTCCAAATAGTTTTTTATTATTAAAGTTCAAGAAATTATAACATTTGACTTTGATAATAAAGACTAATTTGCGATGAAAATGTATTCAATTAGAAAAATTCCAAATAGAAGCATTTTGACTTTTGAACTCCATTGTATTGTCCAATCAAAAACTTTATTTCTTGTACACTGGGCTATTCCAATGTCCTGCCGTTCTGGTGCTGAGGGGAACCTGACTGGCATTGACCTCTGATAACCTGTGCATCAGTCACGAACAAACCTTGTTTCAATGCAGAGCAGACTGCAGTCACTTTGCTCTTCCTGCATGATGTGGTTACTTTTCAAACCTGAAAACTCTCGAACCTGCAGGTGTTCAAGACCACAACAAAAAAACTAGCCATCCTGCAAGTGGAATTTAAAAAATAAATAAAACGAGACCGAGTTGTGACTTGCAACTTTGGGCAGTCATGTGCAGAGACATGAAGTAGACATATCTCTATGTCCTCATTTCTCACGGATGCTGAAGTTATTTGAATCAATCTGAGATTATTGAATGGAGTTTTGCTAAATATATGGGATACATTTACTCTTAGTGATCTGTGAAGGTGATATGAGGTGGTATTTAGGATGGGTGGAGGAGATAAATGAACTTTAAAAGGGACCCAAAGGGTTTTGTTAGTTGCCAAGCTAGAGTTGAACATGAGAAGTAAAAGGAAGGAAGATAGTATGTACAGTATTTAGAAGATAAGAATCAGCTGGAGGGGAAATAATGTGTGTTACTCATAAATGGTGGTATTCAGTCAGGCCCACGGGTCTTTTTATGTCCAAACCTGCAGAAGCCAGAGCGCCGCATTCCACCTGCTGTCATTCACATACAGCAGTTTTATATAGGGCTGAACTGACCGTCAGATCGCAAACTCATTACCGTCTGTTGACTCATCAGGACAGACTGTTGAAAAGCACAAAAGTCATTTTGGCTCTCTTGTCTTAAAACCGCCTGCTTCATAACAGATGTTATCGTTCAGCGTCTCTCCGTTTGACTGCTTTGTCATTTGCTCTGGTAATGCTTTCAGCTCTTTTCAGACTTTCTTGTCTATATTTATTTTCTGCTTTGTCTTTCTAATTTAGTAAGCAGACTTTCGCTGTCTGTGGCTCTCTTCCTTGAAAGTGTTTTTCTAATCTCATTTGTTTCGGCTTATTTATTAACCATCATTTCAACCAAGCCGATTCAAAATTGAATACTATGAAAATCTAGTTAAAAATAATCATGTTTCAAGTCATGTTTTCCAAATTGGTTTGTCCATTCAAATGTTTGGGGTCGATAAGATTGTTTGATGTTTTCAAAGTCTCAGTGAGGCTTGATCAAAAATACAGTAAAACAGTAATATTGTGAAATATTATTACAATTTAAAATAACTAAATTAATAAATTCTTTTAAAAATATATTTTATTATATAAAATATGTGATGGCAAAGCTGGGTTTTCAGCATCATCACTCCAGTCTTTATTGTCACGGGTTCCTTCAGAAATCATTTTGATACTGATTTGCTGCTCAATAAGCATTTCTTTTAATTATCAATATTGAAAATATTTGTGCTGCTTAAAGGGTTAGTTCACCGAAAAATTAGAAGTATTGCATAATTTACTCACCCTCAAGCCATCCTAGGTGTATATGACTTTCTTCTTTCAGCCAAACACAATCTGAGTTATATTAAAATGATCCTGGCTCTTCCAAGCTTTATAATGGGAGTGAATAGAGATTTTTAAATAAGTAAAGGTCACTCTTCCACCAGAACTAGACTTGGGTACGGCCATTACCGAAAGCCAGTGATTATAGTTTATAAAGTTATAAATATGGATATTTTTCTTACATTAACGCATTGCTTCACTTCTGTAGGCCTTTATTAACCCTCTAAAGTCGGATGGATTACTTTTATGATGGATGGATGCACTTTTTTCGAGCTTCCAAAACTAAGGCTTTATTCACTCCCGTTACAAAGCTTGGAAGAGCCAGGATATTTTTTTATATAATTCGAATTGTGTTTGGCTCGAAAATGAAAGTCATATATACCTAGGTGTAACTTGCTTGGTTGTAGCAATGACTCACACGAAAAAGGAATATATAGCAACATGCTTTAATGGAAATATTCACAAGAAACATGGAGAAAGCAACCAACCATTTAGGAACATACGTTGACCGACAGCCACGTGAAGGAAACTAAGGGTATTTAAACACTGGGACTTATGGGATAATTAACGAGACAACAGGTGGGAATAATTAACTATTCAGAACACAGCAAACCTTCCAGGCAACCTGTAACCCGTGTTTTTTCAACCTTATACCTGTGAAAGTGCACTGGAACGGCAGTCAAACCCGTAACTTCCCACCCGTGAACTCGTACTAGATCGATGTACTCCCAGTTACGAGCTCTGACGTCACATAGCCCGCGAAACCATACAAAACAACAATGGGAGCCCCTACGGATGCAGTGTTTCTGCAGGCGGTACATGGTGAGAATACACTTTAGGACAATATAACGTTAACTAGTTTTCAGTCCATTGAGTGCAAGGATAAATTAATACCAAATACATTTCCAAATATACAAATAAAGTAAAATAAAAGGTATAACAGCTTATCTTGCCTTATGCACCGTTTTTCCTCCTCCGTTTCCCTCAAATAAACAAGGAGTAAGCACCTTTGGCGACAGAAATTATTACAAATGCGCATGACCCCGTAAGGTCCGCCATGCTGGTTTGTTAACATCTAGCTACCACAATTCCTTGCGCTCATGTAGTTTGGCGTGACTGACCTGGAATGCTACAAAGTCGTGAGTCGTGGTTTGAAGTCGTGATTTACGTGCTCAAAAACCTGCCTGGAACGCAGCATAGGTCACAGGGGAAACACAAAGGAACTTAGGACCAAACATGTGACACTAGCTTGAGAGGATGAGTAAATTACGGTATCATTTACATTTTTGGGTGAACTAACCCTTTAAACTTTTTGGGGAAACTCTGATACGTGTTCTTCAGGGTTCTCTGATAAATGGAAAGTTCAAAAGAAGAGTATTTATTTATAAAGAACAATCTTTCTTAACATTATCAATGTATTTAGTGTCACTTTTGATCATTGTTTTGTGTACAGTAAATAAATAAAACATTTCTAAAACAAATCTAATAGTGACATTATAGAATATTCTGTGTGACAAAACAGGTTAGTGAAGAAGTTCCAAAATGACTTGTGCACAAAGCAGGGAACATAAAGAAATGGTTTGCTTTGTCTGTTGTGACTTAGTATCCTAATTAGGGTTGGGTATCATTTGAGTTTTAACGATTCCAATTCCGATTTCGATTCTGCTTATTGATTCCGATTCTCATCGATTAATTTCGATTCCAATAAGGTAAAAAAAAAAACTAAAAAAAACTTGGATATCGTTCACATTTAGTCTTATTGCAAAACATTTAATTGTAGCTGAATATCATGAACAAAAATCAACAGGCTAAAGAACACTTACGCAAGGAGCGTTTTCCTGTGGTTTAGAAATACCATACCAAGTAAACACTCAGTAATTAAAGAAGGACTAAAAATTTATCAATCGCAACAAATAGATACAACTGAACAAAGATATGATTGAAATAAACAGTGTTTTAAGATTTTCAGGCATTCAGGTATAGAAACTGTAATCAAATGTAAAATAGCACTGCACTTTATAAATAAAATATTCATTACAAATATAGTTACACAAGTTATTCAGTTAAGAACGAGTGAATTTTCTCTTTGTTTTTTGTTGTTTGATTAGTGTTATTATAAAAACATCAGCAGGAGGAATATTAGGCTGCTGTCACTTTAAGAGTTGCACAGATCCAAAATACCGTTAGTTATACCCAAGTGGATAATCCATCGACCAGAAGTTGAAGCTTTTTAGTTTTTTGTAAAAATAGGCTAACGATT